TTTACCTCCAATATATAGAGATTCAATGTATGTGTTATTTTCAGTAGTAAAAATAACAACTTTAGGTAGTTGAGAAGTATAGGTATTTTATAGATAATTATATGATAAAACTATTTCCTCGTCTATGCACAGCTGTTTCGACAATTATTACAAGTTACTTTTATTCCGCGATGAGAAGACAATTATTTTAGCTATGACACTCAGATTGTTTGCTTTGGAAGCTATATTTACCTAAAGTTTCCTAGAACAGGGATAAGGTTTTAATAATTCAACACGTTTAATTTCCACTTCATGGTGGCATTGAAACGCGGAAAAGTTCTTTTCTTGTCAGAAAAATTTTGCATCAATTAGAAATTAACTGCACTGGCATATTTACTGTACGTTACTTTTGCGCATAAAACTGCTTCTTAATTCAGTTTTATAAATAATCACCAAGGACATGTCTTCTAGTTTATTCTTCGAATAGTGCCACCACGGGCCACGTTAAGGTGTGGTGACAAAGTACAAGGAAAAAACAATGGGGTATTATAACGGCTCCTTTTCGCTGTTCCCAGTGCCATCTCAAGTGATATTTGCATCGAAGTGAAAAATTCGCGCTAGTATTGTCATATATCTGTTAATAATTATCATAGAAGCGAGAAAAACACAGTTCATTTTTCGGAAAACGCTGCAATTCATGTCCACGTTGACGATTTGTACAGTATTCTAATTCCTGCCATGCGATACATCGCCGCCATTATTCCAGATAGTTCTTCAAAGAACTGAAAATAAGTTTTGATCATGTCAAAAGAAAAAAATACTTTAATAGAAAAATCAATTTTTTATATGTGATTTCTCGTGATTTTTGCTTGTCGCATATCTATTGAAGTGGTTATTTAAGTCTTTTACTGAACCCGTTAGAGGCATTCTTGTAATCCTGATTGGTCCAGCCAAAATCCGACAGTACCTTAAATTGACAAATCTTCAGTAACAACGTACGAAGCTAACATCAAAACGTTGATAATGGCTCCATCCTTGTTTTACTTGACAGGCGTTTTTTCACGACGGGCGTTTCTGTCCGGATCCATCAGTGTCCCAAAGTTCAATGTATCTACCGAAACGTCCATCAATAAAATAAACCTGAGGAAACCATTAACAACGTTTTGATAACCAATTCTCACCGCAACTCTACCATGATCTTTAGCATCGCGCAAAGAAGGTATTAAAAAAAACCCAGAAAGACAAACAAACATTTTAAATCGAAACGATTTGTAATTGATACACACACAATGACAATTTCGATAATGAATATCCTGCATCAACAATATTTCACCTGTAAGTACAAAGTCTATCCACACGAGGACATTTTGAAGAYGTCAGGCTAGCAGGTTATTTGCAAAACGCCCGTTCAGTTTAACAAGCGTGAGTAAGTAGGAAAAAGTTTCATTAAATAGTTCCATCACTCTTATATCATAATATATATAGAAATATAGCATTTTCGAATGTCTCATAGAATTATAGATTTATATATATATTTTAAAACTTTTTTTAAGATATTTGTAATTTTATGCAATTCAGCCTTAGAGGGGCCGCCATATGATTTTGAAATAAAGCTTTCTATCTATCTCATATCCAAGAAATATAATATTAGTACATAGTTTTTTTATTGATCCTAAAGCATTTTATTCCGAATATTCTAGAATGCGCAGGTAGTTATTCATTTTTCAAAGGAACATAGACACGTGCTCTTCACACCTTAAAACCCATCTCAGCTGCTTTCCATCTCCACAGAGAGAGAGAGAGAGAGAGAGAGAGAGAGAGAGAGAGAGAGAGAGAGAGAGAGAGAGAGCTGCATATAGACAAAAACTCATTCATTTTGGAAAGTATTCCGTGATATCTATTCTGAGAGGCAATATTTGTTTATTGTTCTTTCATTTTTTCAGTGTTTACTTTGTGAAGCAACTATTATTTGTTGTGATTACTCTCAAACTGTTTATCCGCATTCAAGACACAGCTTGTTTATTGAAAGAGCGTGCTATTTTTCGGCAACTTGAAAGAATCAGGCTATGTTCCTTTAATTCCATTCTGAACAAAGCTCCTTTGTTCTATAAGGTAAATACGTTATGCACACAGAATAATGAAGCTCATWAAGATACAATGGAAAACGTCTACATTTTTGACTATTTTTGATCACATCTGTATTAATAATGCGATTGAGAAACTTATTTTTCAGTTATAGTCAGCTCTTTCCACTGGAAAAAATCGCGCGCTTTAAAGGTTGTAAATTTGATGTAAATATGATGTATAAGTGTCCAAAATTCTGTAAATTTGATGTAAATGATTTCCATTAAATTTACAGAAATTTTGGACACTTGCATCATATTTACATCAAATTTACRACCTTTAAAGCGCGCGATTTTTTCCAGTGTTATATATTTGGATATCGCAAATTACCTCTCCTAGTAATGCCAGATACTGTTAGGACAGTCATTAGTTGCATTTAAAGAAAAGAAAATTGCTTTATTGGTTGGTAAGCTTTTGTCTTGCAATCTTTCCAAGATCAATGAAAACGCACCAGGGGATGGGGGTCGGGGAGATCTTGACCCTCCTTCTGTGTTAACATGTTTAACATGTTTTAGGACATCATGGGGACGTGTCCGTGTTAAAATCAAACTTCTTCTGACGTAAATAAGGTTGAAGCAAATGACCACACCATTATATACGTCTCTTGACCTTTGTTCAGATTTACTTCTTAAATCTGTAAGTCCATCCAGTTAGTATTAAGAATTTTTTTTTTATACATCTAAGACTAAGAGAATGCGACCAACAGTATGTTGCTGGTGTTGGTTTAACAGTATCCAGCTACAACTAGATAAATAATAACACCTGTTTAAAAAGCGTTGAACCGGCAATGATCACATTCTTCATGCCAGCCCTCGTGCCCTTTGGCGATRCCTTTGGTCAGCCTCGTGGCACGTACGCTTGCGCCATCGAGAAAGCGAGCTTTGGTATCAGTTGAAAAAAGAAACGTTGAAACAAAGACTAATTGATACGAGAGAAGCAGTTATTTGTACCAGATTGTAGCTTAATCGCGATAGATTGTTTCAGATCCATGTGCCCAGGTAAAGGTACTACACAGAACAGAAGATATTCTGAAATATAGCTTACGCCAGACTCATTCTCTTTGTACTATTTTTTTTACAGTGAGTTTTATCAATCGCTCTCCAACGGAGCAACGCCCGAAAAAACAGTACGTTKAATTATCCGTTTTTAAGTAGCATATCATGTTTGATACAAAGCTACTACTTTAAAAATTCAAACTATTGACGAAACATAACACTATGCAAACATCGGCAAATAAAGCTTAMAAACCCACTCTGTGTGCACTTTTTTCATTTTTTTAATCAAAACTTAAAATCTCCGACGGACTAATGTCGTACTTTTCACGAAGCAAAATATGCTTTTGTCGCTAGTTTATATATCCACTACTACTCGTGTGTGTGAACTCCCATATCAGTATACAAATATTCTGCGATAAAATTCGGATAAATACAAAATAAATAAATAATAATATTTSACATTAAGACATTGTGACAAAAAGCAAAAGCAAAAGTCAAAGTATGAATATAGACTAGCAACACAAAACGATACAATTTGAGGCCATTAGCCCAAGCACGCTTCTTTTTAAGCACACTTTTCTTCAAWAAGAGAATAATCTTTGAAAAACTTGCTGCAAATTTTAAGTTTAAAATAAACACTTGACATTTCGAGATGATTTTTTCCGTGAATCGTTGCAGACAGTATCTATGACATCGATACACCAGTTGTGTCTTTTTTTAGAGCATAAAAGGACCTCTGGATGTTGAATATAAACAACTTCTCGTCTGGTTGTACTGGAGTTTGAAAACACGCAGTCTGCATGCACTGTTACAGGTAGCGTGGTCTTAGCGTGTTACTAATCTGACTCTTAGTGTCTAAAACTGCTTTAAATCTAATAAAGAATCCATTCTATTTTGTATTATAAATGCTGACTGAATTAAGAAAAAAAGTTAAAACCGCAGCGTACCTGGAGAAACGTCCGTAGATCAAGAGGGAAAACCATCCTTGAATTCAAAATTCAAAGGTACACTTTTACCCGGCCTGGGATTCGACCAACAGAGGCCAACTATGATAAGCCTCAGTTTTACTTTATACTCTCATGTTAGTATGTCGATGTAATTGAAAATGYTCTTGTCGATAATGATTTAGGACACTTTTTAGAATTGTTAAAATTATAATTAAAAAATCGCATATAAATACATGATTAATCACAGATTAATATAATGAATCGTATAAAATTTAGTATAATAAGAACTATACTTGCTAGCTACTCTTTCTCCTTCGTCGCTTCTTGCTACGTCTTTGGCCGTGATATTTTCTCGATGATGATCTTTTTGACTTTTCYTTCGAWTTCTTTCTCCTTGGTGATTCACCCTCTGATGAGCTAGAACTTGCTCCTTTTTTTAAGTCATCTTTTCTTTTTTTKCGAGGCGAATCATCGTCGCTGTATTTTCGTTTTCTTTTGGTATTTTTCCTCGTGTTTGAGTCGCCTTTTCTTGATTCTCGTTCTTTATCACTGTAAATATGAAAAATAAAAYGTTCCAATTGGWAAAGCAGCTAAAATGCAAACACTTAAGGCGTTAAGTASTAGAGTGAAGTAAAACAAAAAGCAACAATAAAAAATAAATTATAGCAAATTTTCAATTATAGTARATTTTTGTTYATTTGATATATCTTTATGTTGGATTATAAAAGATCTTTGAAATTTCATTATGTGTAAGAGTTTAAACTCAAATTACTGATCTTTACGCAACAAAACACCAGGACTTTTAGGAAAACTAGTTTCGTTTTATAACCTTTTCAATTCCTATTGTTTCAATCTAGTAAATAGTGCTAAATAGCACAATAAAATGTAGAMTAAACAATTGAGAATAAAGGACAAAACAAAAATACTGTTTAYTGACTTAAATTCTGGTTTAGTGTAGTCACACTAAAYATTTAAAATACATACACTTTTYTATTTTTTCTTCTTTTTCTCTTTTCCTCTTCACTCCTTTCACTTTCCTTTTCCTCAAACTCCTCTGGGTAAAGCTCTTTGTAGCCACTGTGCCCCCATCTATAATACAAAGCAAAGAAGCATGTTAATAGATGAAACRGCACAAAACATAATATATAGAAAGCACTGTCTGATGTTACAAGGAAATGCATTGAATTCTGCTTTTATTGTAAGGTATGAAAAACAAAAAAATTATCTTATGATCGAGTGAGATACTGTTTTCTTTATGTGCCATGATATTATTTTTTCAATCAACTTCTTGAGTTACACTTATTTCATAAATTGCACATATAGTGATCTATAGTTTTCTCAGTTATAGAAATTTTTGTTAATTATAACGAAGATCAAACCATTAAAAATACCATGAATATTTTTTTTAATTTTTTTTTCCTGTGATGGATTCATTTGTTATAAAAGATGAAATGAAATTAGTCAATATATTGCATAATACTCATTGAAACACCATACATCAATACCAACTTTATCACCACCACTACCTACCACAACACCAACAAATACCACCAACAATAACAGCACTATCAACACCACCACCCCCACCACCACCCCCACCACCACCCCCACCACCACCACCCCCAACAACAACAACAACAACAAAGCACAATACACGAGATTTTTGGCACGATTTGATGTTAGCATAATTCTGCATAAACTGCTCGTACCCCCACCACCACCCCCAACAACAACAACAACAACAAAGCACAATACACGAGATTTTTGGCACGATTTGATGTTAGCATAATTCTGCATAAACTGCTCGTGCTTGGGATACCTGTGTATTCAAAACGACGACAGCTCAACATCTTATTACCTTTCTGAAAGAGAGCTTTCATAAGTTGTTAGCTGTTTCATCCAGTAAGTATCTTTGGGTTTCTCAGGAGATAAATCCCTTTTTGAATGTTTGTAACTCCTAAAAACAATAGTAGAGTAAGATCACCAAATTACGAAGTTTATAAAATTTAGCTTCAGGTTTACCTCCGTTTTCCTCGATCTGACGGCGATTTTCTGTGTTTATCTTCTTCATTATTCATTCGGTGAAGCCTCCACATTTCTTTCTCTTCTTGTATCTAACCGCATACAAGAAAAATGTGTTTAAAAGAACGCTGAATATGCTGAAACCTTTTTTTGTACTCATAGGCTACTTATCCCATCGAGTTTAAATTGCATTGATGTTTTAAGATAATAAAACACCTCTAAGTGATAGTTTATATGCGGTTTATATGTTTGTCCTTTCTTACCTTATTATGTGCGTCTGAGTTTCGTATAAAGTTATGAAGAACTTTTTTGTCGATAAGTTTACGTGAGACCGCCATTTTGGATTATTGATTCACCGAAATGCATTGTGGTTGTCTGGAATATATAAACACAGGAACCCCGAGATTTATTTTGAAATAACCGAAAATCAACATATTGTTAGTTTTTATGTGCAAATAACAACACTCAGCCTTCTGCATGTGACTTCAACACTCAGGCTTCTTCATGTGACTTCGACAGTCAGGCTTCTTCGTGTGACTTCAACACTCAATTCACCGAAATGCATTGTGGTTGTCTGGAATATATAAACACAGGAACCCCGAGATTTATTTTGAAATAACCGAAAATCAACATATTGTTAGTTTTTATGTGCAAATAACTCTCTGTTTTCAAATCAAAATGTCGTATAGACTCTTTTGAGGTGAATTTCTTATCAAGTCGGTGTTGCCTTCTCTCAAAATCTTGATTTGTGACAACCTCTCCCCTCCCCTCCGTGTTTTCTTTTACGCAACAAGGAACGCCTGGTGGAAGATTTGCACCTCATGATGAACATGTGAATGGCTGTGCATACAAAAGAAGAAACATGAGCTCAGGAAAWCGAGATTACTATCCATAYCATTGGAACAAGCTTCTGGAGGACTATTCAAACATGAAGTCACCAAAAGGTGTTTCATTTCAACAGGAAAAAAATCCAAAATCAAAGTACCTGGTCTTTGCATTTCTTTTCTTCCTGGCGTGTGTGATYATAAGTGTTGTAGGTTTGCACACAGTGTTTGCTCGACCAACAGCACTTGGAAAATATGGTAAATGCAGCTTAGAACCTTGTGCAGACTCTTGTAATATTGGAATTGTGGAAAGCATACCAGAAAATTTAACGTATCCAGCTRGTGAAGTCGTACACCCAACAATTTACAGTGGACTTCTTAGACTTATACAATCAGCTAAGGATTCTGTAGATATCGCTTCSTCTTACTGGACATTRAGGGGGAATGATACRAACACCACTGATCCGTCAACGTCTTGGGGTGAGACACTTTTCAAGGAACTTGTTTTGGCTGGGAAAAGAGGTCAGTGTAAATATCAACGTGAAACATTAAATATTTAAAGTGTAACATATGAAGACCATTTTATTCTTATTCTTATACTATCCTTTCTTTGATTAAAAGTCTCAAAAAAATGAGTTAATTTGAAAATTGTCTTGCGTAATTTCTCTATTAACCAACAATACTCCAATTTCGAGTTCTGGTTTGCTCTGTGTTAGCCTCAAAACCAAGTAACATATTCTTTTGTTTCATTGATAGCTCGAAAAAACGCATGGAATTTGTGAAGAAAGACAATAAATTTGATTTGAAATCTCATACTTCTACGCTCACAATAAGGAATATTTTGCGCACAAATGAGGCTAACACAGAGCATTGGAGAATTCGAAACTGGAGTATTCCTGATCCTTGCTGGTTAGAAACAGGGAGCCCAACACCAAGATGTTGMAATGAATGTTTGTCAAAAGCCATAAAAATCATTAGGAAATCAGAATTATGGTGTTTAATTCAGTTACATAACATCAAAAGTGAACTGTGTAAAACTTTCTCCAACTTTAAGGAGGCAACTGTGGACTCCCATCAGGTTTCCTGTGGTGCATCAAAATGTGGGAGGGAAGGGGCCCATTCCTTTCCAGTTCTCATGACAAAGGAAGYCCAGCTAGTTTCCCTGTGGAGATGGCTAAGCATGTTTCTGTTACATGTAAGAATTCCCCAGTATCGGCAATGAATCTTACAAAAGAATATTGATTCTAGTCAGTAGTCATATCAGGGTGTATTGTTAACATTTTATTACTATTCATCTMTAGGAGTGGAAATCAGAATAGTTCAGTCTTACGATAAGGACCCTRAAAAGAATCAAGACACAATYGATTTAGAAAAAATGGGTGTGGCTCAGGTCCGAAGTCTGAACTTAGAGAGACTAGTTGGTAGCGGGATCTTGCACTCTAAGATGTGGCTGGTTGATGGWAAAAACTTTTACCTTGGTAGTGCCAATCTGGACTGGAGGTCTCTTACACAGGTGATAAAAGTTATTATTATTATTATTCAGAGAAGCTGGTCACCAGTGTCTCTCAATCCAAATGAATTAGTCATTCAGCTAGCTATGAAACTATATGTGTATCTGGGGCCCTGCCGTGTTCCCGTGATATTGAACCTATACCACTCTGTAGACCACAAACAATGTTCAGTGTTAAACAATTATGTCAGAGGAAGCATTTAGTACTTCTTTTTAGTTCATAAAATTATAATTTTCGCTATTGTTTTCCTGAGCTTCACTTTTTTTTCTTAGGTCAAAGAACTTGGTTTTATGACTTACAACTGCCCATGTTTAGCTAAGGACATGTCTAAGATATTTGAAGCTTACTGGGTGCTTGCTACTCYAGAATCACACATTCCAAAATCCTGGCCTAGCTTCTTCCATACAGGGATTAATGTTGGTAAGATTGACGGACAGATTGACGGGCGGAAGAAAGAAAGAAAGAAAGAAGAAAGAACCTTTTGAATCACTGAAGGACAGATTGACGGACGAACTGACTGACGAACAGACTAATTAACTAACCGATCACGGACAGACTGGCAGACGTTCTAAACGAATATAATATTTGTCCTGTGAAATTATTTCCAGATAATCCAGCAAACATTACCATTAATGGATCTCGCAGTACTGGAATCTTCTTGTCGTCTTCTCCGAAACAACTATGTCCGCCGGGCAGGACGGTCGATATTGATGCCATATTGAACATTATCGGTAAAGCCGAGAAGTTTGTCTATATTGAAGTCATGGATTATTTTCCGACAACACTTTATCTAAAGCATAACACGTAAGTTTAGAAATCGTGAACAATTCAGGAGAAAAGATAGATGATGGTAGTGACGGGGTATTTTTGATTCCCGATCCAAAGGCTAAAAGTCCACAATTCTTCCGAACCTCGAATTGTTTTGATCCCGATTCCTAAACATTAATCCTGAATCAAAATCTAAAACTCTGATCCCCGAGCTCCTAAATTTAATTTTGATCCGACCTAGATCCCAGATATACCAGTGATGTAAATTCATATTTTTACTCATCGTTTAGGTACTGGCCAGTGATTGATGATGCCCTTCGCAAAGCAGCGTTTGATCGTGGTGTAGTTGTAAGACTTTTAGCTGGGTTATGGAATCACACGCGACCTGATCTCAAGAGATTTCTCAAATCTCTGTCGGCTATAAATGGATCGAAGTATGGTGACGTSATTGTGGAAACGGTACGTATACTTTGCACCGCTCTTTTTTGTTCTAACCCTTGGAAATCCAAGCACAGAAAGGACCAAAGATTTGCCTTTTCGACTAAAATACATTTAATTTTTATTTTCTTTATGGCAGAAATTTTTTCAAGTTCCTAGTTATTCAAAGGCCCAAAAAGAAATCCCATTCGCTCGAGTAAACCACGATAAGTTCATGGTCACTGACAAGACAGCCTACGTCGGCACTTCGAACTGGGCAGCGGACTACTTCATCGGCACTGGCGGTATCGGTTACGTCATCAACGACCAATCAAATGATTTTATACGACGACAGTTGCAGTCAGTGTTTGAGAGAGACTGGAACTCGAAGTACATTGTTCCTGTTCAATAACAGACTGGAGTTATTATAACTCGTGGATTTGATGGAGAGATTACAATTAGTGAAGACGTGAATCTTGCTCAGTCGTCACTCGGTTGAGTCGTCTCTCTCTCTGTTGCGCAGCATGCATCCAGAGAGAGAGAGACGACTGGAGACGAGTTTGTGAATATCGTGAATTATGGTTGAATAACCTAGAATATGGGTTGAAACCCAAACATTTTTTTCTAGAATTGAAATTTTTGGAATACAGTTAACTCTCTTTTTGAACGACCACTCTAGTAAACGACCATCTCCCGTAAGCGACCACTTTCTCCTGATCCCGAGGTGGTCGCTTACGAGAGAGTTGACTGTAGTTTAATTCTATTAATTTTGATATTTATAGTCACCAACGAAAATAATGATAAACATACAAACACGTTCAAAAACAAATGAAATAAATTGAAGGCAGAAACGCTTAGAACAATCAACATACTGAAATATGGTACTGTATGCAGTTTTAGTTAGAACCCATTACAAATTGAATCTTTACGACTTTAACGTACGTTTCTGTCCTATTTTTAGTGTCAKTATGAGGTTTCAAATAAAACAGTGAAAGAATGACTTTGATTAAGTAATTTAAACTGATAATTCAAATTCAAATATGCCATAATTTCTGTAGATGCATCTAGTGAATATCGTCCCCAGGCCCTCATCCCTGTGTTTGTGGTCAGGCTTATAAGACCTATTAAAGGTGCGTAGGTGCGAGATCATCAAAAACAGTTTGTGCCCTCGCAATTTTGCTTTCCGGATTATTTCATGTTGTTTRATAAAATAAAGAGCTGTCAGAAAGTAAGTAAAGTAACTTGTATTAGGCGAGGTGTGGTCCGGACACATATCAAAGAATTGCTCCACAAAAGTTGTCCTTCGTTTAGCAGCCATATATGGTAATCTTACCTTATTTGGAAGTACGATAGGAATGTTTTTTGTCAGACTTTCACGACTTTTAAAGCTTGAAATCGTCTGAAACTTGCAGATATTATAGCGAAAACACTTCTCAACAATCGGCCATTTTGTTTGTTTCCATATATGGGATGGATTCGCTAAAGCCCAAAACTAAAAAGCACAGGGAACCCGCACGAATGACATACAATTCTTTGATATGGAGCTTCCCTGTGAACTGATCCCCAGTCCTGCATCCGAATCTTTGTTGTCCATCTAGTAGAGTTCTTGCCATTTTTTTAATTAAAAGTTAAYACAATCTTCATATTCGATGCTTTTAGATTTGATCCGTTTTATCGGAAAACTTATCGAACTCACAAAAGTTGGGTTCCCTGTGTAGCCAAGGAGGCCTGGTGACAAAGCTTTCAYTGAGTAAATTAATGTAGTTTTATCGCAGTTTGTTTTGAAAATTGTCTTATTTTACGTCTTGCGATGTCAAAAAAACAAAATCCTCACGTTGGAGAATTCGATGGATCTGATATTATCGGTAGAACGGCATCTTTTGGTGGAAAAGGAGCTTTAGTTGGTAAGAATATCTGATTTTGTAAGCTTATGGTCATGAAAAGCAATGCAGTCAGCTTATAAGTTAAAATACTTGCCTGTTGTTGTCAAACAAGAAGATGATTTAATATTATGTTAAGCAATATGAATTGCTACAACAGAATTTCCCCCTAGTGAACAATATTCAATTTTCACTGAAGTAAGATTTACTGTATCTGTTGATGTCTGTAGTAAGCTTATTTACTTCATTTTCATCCAACTTAAACTTACTTGAGTTGATTGATCGGTTTTATCCCAGTTTTTTGCAGTTTTCTTTGATTTTTATAAAAATACTTCAAAATTAATAATAATAGTGTTTTTAGGGTTATAAATTTAGCAAAGAGAAAAAAATCATGAAAATGAATGCATGTATTTAGCACGAATTTATTGGTGATTTGAGTTTGTAAATATTTCTCATTTCAGGTGCTTTTTATGGGGCATGTGTAGCAGCCATCACACCACCTAAACCAGCTCCTACTCCCCTAATCCTGCAAGCACTGAATATAATGAAAAATACAACAATATTACTAGGTAAGAAAGAGTGTCATGGTCCATATTTTAGTTAACAGTGATGACAGCTATAAGCCAAAAGTTGGMCATTATTTTAATACCTGAAAAAATRGKATRAATATTATATATACCACATATGTATAAATTCGATGAGGTGATGTATATCAGCTGCATGTTAGAGTTTATAGTTTTGAGTGTTTAGAAGAAACCATTAGCTGTTATTGTTGATGAATTTTGTAGGAGGAGCAGCAGCAGTATTTGCAGGGACGACATCAACAATGGCTGCCATAAGAGGAAAGGATGATTATAAAAACTGGGCAGTTGGAGGAGTTGCTAGTGGAGCCTTGTTTGGATTAAATAGTGAGTTTTTRTAGCTGACTTTAGCCTCATTTACAGGAATATTCTGCTTTTTACCACTCTTTGGACAGGGCAAGGAGATACCACAGGGATCCCATGAATAACAAAATAAAGTGCTGCCTGTGTGGAAGGCTTAGGTGGCTTGAGGCCTTGTTTGACTTCATATGATAATAGGAAATGTCCAGTAATGGCATTTTCATAGCGAAGCATGATGATAGTTATAGGCCTTGTATTTTTTCATGTCCGATAAAACAGTCATTCTGAAAGTTTTTGTTTTTTCTAAGACAAAATAGAAGTAGTATTGTAGTTTCTACAAAGTAAGCATAAAAATGCTTTTAAGGAGGTATTTTAGGTTTTATAATAAGTTTGCAAAGTACAACTACCATCATGCTTTGCATACAAAATGGTGTCACCACACATTGCCTATTACACCCAAAACCTCTAGAAATCATTATTGTGGGTTAATTAAATATCAAATTAACTAGTTTACAACTTTTTAGCATATAAGCATTATACACTTTTAAATGATACTTATTTAGTAACATTGTTTCACAGATTGAGTTTGTATTCTCCATTACTAAGCTATTATTTCCATCCAGTGTTTTTTCTAGCAATAGGCATTGATGCCAATAACCTATTGAAGATATCCATAAATTCAGTCTATCTGTACTTTTTGTATAATAATCATAACATTGCTGTATAGTTTAATCTCTCACCTGTTGTTATCAATTCAACCTTAATAAGGAAGGGGACTAACTAGAAAACTGATAAGTTAATTTAGTCCTCTGTCTCATCTATACCAAATTAGGGAAACTTAAATTTAGATGTCACATATTTACATATACCTAATACATTGCAAAAAACTGTAACAACATTTGAAGAGAGAAATAAACTATTCTATTMTATAACAATCTATTACAAAAACCTTGATATTCTGTGTTTTTTGCAGAGCGCAGCTTTGGCATTGGTGCTGCAACAATGGCTGCATTAGGTGCTGCAGCTGGAGTTGCCAAATATACTGGTGTTTATAAGCACCCATTCAGAGAAGACAGAGTCTATGTGTAGATTCTACTGTATAATATGTTTGTTAATTTGTGAGCTGTTTTGAAGAATTATGTTTTCAGAAATCAAAAAATAAAATGTAAACTGTTAATACTTTTTGAGTCTTCTGTGCAAAATTGATTTATTTTAACCAAGCGTTCGGCCTATGCAGCCATTTTCAAGGTTGTAGTACACGTGATGATCTAATCTACGCAGCTAACTCAAAGCGCTTGAGGAAACTGTACATTACGCGCGCGCTCTRTTTACAAWTGAAAGATAGTGAATAAAAAATATTATTAGGGCAAATGTCACAAATTAAATGGTTTTAAGTAATTGGATGTAGCTATCGGGCGGAGTTCTTCCAGTGTCCCTATTTGATATTATGTTGATCTTATTTGTTTTTGCTATTAATACTGCTTTCATCCACTTCCTTTGGTGACACCTTGTCTCGTTTCTTAAGACCAGGGTCGTGCAGGTCCTTAAATCCTTGAAAAGTGCTTAAATTGAAAACTCATTTTCAAGGGCACTTGAAACTCCTTGAAAATTTGAAAATTTCGAAATAGTCCTTGAAAACTCCTTGAAAAAGATGGATCTCTATCACGAAGCGCTAGCGATCTCTGAATTATTCCGTTCAGCTGAAGATTTGAGGTAAGAATCTACAATTAGCATGATTTTGATGCTCCTTGAAAATACAATTTTGGTCCTGGAAAAAGGCCTTGAAAAGTCCTTAAATTTTGTTTTTGATACTCTGCACAACTTGTACAATGCCATGACTCAGGTTCATTCTTTATTCCTGCACAGCCCCTGTGAATAAAAAAGCAGATCTAATTACAGAAAAATGTTCTTTTGAATATTAAATAAAGTAGCAACTTAATACCAGTCATACCATTCTCCACAAGTTTCACATTCAATCATGTTAGTCTGCTTTGATATTTTACAGTGATTGCACTTCCAACTGTCTTTGAGCTCACTCACAAAATACCAGGAAAAATAAAAAAAGATCATATTAAAAACATTTTTCAAGCATATATTTGATAAAAAGTCACAATATTATCAATTAGATYTTGCTCAAATACAAATATATGGGTGTGTAAACCTGATTTCTGAAGATCTTTGCCATGTTTCTTCTTGGAAATGGTGTTTTTTATTGTATGGGACAGCTTATCCGTTGGGATCCGTTGGTTCATTAGAATGTCAGTAKATAAACAGGAAACCCGGCARATTAGAATATATTAGTCAGCTCCAGACCTTTCTCGGCCAAAAACATGTCGGAGCCATTCCTGTATTTAGGCGCAAGTATCAACGTCTGACCTTCACAGCGGAGGAGGTTGCAGAAATATGCGCTAGAAGCTATAGCGATGATGAAAGTGATTTTGATAGTAGTGTTGGAGGTATTTCTAGTGAAGAAGAAGAACATCTTGATGCAAATTTCAAAGAGAAAAGTTCGTCTGAAGCTAACACGAGGTACGTAAACTGACACCACGATTTTAATTTCCCGCAACTGTAAGATATTGCTTCGTGTTTTTACTAGTTAAAAGCAACAACCTACACTATTTTTCACTCCTTGATCATCAGAAATATTACATAAATCAGAAAGAGGAGTTATTTTAGCAATTTTACAGCTTTTAGCGCCAATTTTGAGGGAAAGTTATTGATGTCATTTGATTCCATCCTGAAGTAGTATGGCTTGACCTTTCATGCAGAGACAATGAATGAGTTTCCAGTAATTTGATCCCTCACCGAACGCAATGCATGCATGGATTGCCAAGGGGCAAACAAAGCGTGAACTACAAGAGTTTGTATGGCATATTTTCATGTTTATCGCTCGATTTTTCAGTGGATATGGARCTTTTTTACGCCGTTTTTACGGGATATTATTAGGAGGAAGTTGTACAATCTGGATACGTAAGTTTAGAACGATATAYGTAAAATTATAGGCGAAAAACTCGATTTTCTTTCGCAATTCGCAGTGTGAATGTACACAGTAACACTTCGCTCACGGACTTAAAATAGTGAGATTTTTTGTCAAGATAAATGCATGATTGCTCAATAAAATCATTCTATATATATTCTACAGTGTGTGAAACATTGTTATCGAAAATTCGAGGGTTAGGGTGAGTTTTTTGACCTCTAGAATGTTAACTTAAGAAAGATCTAAAATACATTGTATCCCTTCGCGGTGATGGAAATTGTTTCTATATTGCTGTCGCTGTATTGCTTTGTGTTTGAACAAAAAGTGACCAAGGACACGCGGGATTGTAGAGCTTATATGGTTGTTTGATTGAGGCAAATACACAGGTTTTTGAGCCGCTTTTATTTACTGCACGATCAGTAGAACAACATCTCACTTTGTCCTCATCGTCCTCATAAACAATGTTGGTGTGCTATTAGAGCACACTTTGGTACTTTTTGTTACCTTAAATTGTGCTTTGTTTATTGCTCTATCCCACGACAAGATTTCTTTCTTATTTTTTTGGGGGAAAAAAACTCAAAATACCAACATTAGAAATAATTTTTTACCTTTCTGGATACATGTACCTCCGATGGTTGTCACAACCACACACAGAACAGTGGTGATCGCCTTTTGGCATATTAATTTTGGATAATATTTTAATATCTAAAGTTTGTAGTGTACAGTAACAATGTTTCACACACTGTAGCATATGTGTAGAATGATTTTATTGAGAAACCATGCATTTATCTTGACAAAAAACTCACTATTTTAAGTCCGTGAGCGAAGTGTTACTGTGTACATTCACACTGCGAATTGCGAAAGAAAATCGAGTTTTTCGCCTATAATTTTACATATATCGTTCTAAACTTATGTATCCAGATTGTACAACTTCCTCCTAATTAATATCCCGTAAMAACGGCGTAAAAAAGTTCCATATCCACTGAAAAATCGAGCGATAAACATGACTAGACGCTCCAGAAGCGTTAAGTCGGGCTACTATTAGAATGTGCACAGTCAAATTTGGAAGAMAGAGCATCAGGCTAGTGGAAAACGACATAAAAGACTCCGTGGAACTTGAAACGTGATTGTTTGAAAATGAAAGCTCGCTCTTTTTCTTTTGTTCAAATATTCATAACACATCAGCAGAGCACATGCCTTATATTTAACAAACCATATCACTAGTTAAAGTTTCTTGACTAATGCTTGAAAAAACTAATTTCAACATATACAATGATTCAAATAGTCCCACCTATTTGTGGTTTATGACGTTGGAGTGATCAATAAACTTGCTTAACTAATGCTTGAAAAAACTAATTTCAACATATACAATGATTCAAATAGTCCCACCTATTTGTGGTTTATGACGTTGGAGTGATCAATAAACTTGCTTAACTAATGCTTGAAAAAACTAATTTCAACATATACAATGATTCAAATAGTCCCACCTATTTGTGGTTTATGACGTTGGAGTGATCAATAAACTTGCTTAACTAATGCTTGAAAAAACTAATTYCAACATATACAATGATTCAAATAGTCCCACCTGTTTGTGGTTTATGACGTTGTAATGATCAATAAACTTGCTTAACTAATGCTTGAAAAAACTAATTTCAACATATTAGGCTAAGAAACTGAAAGCTAGTTGATTTCTAGTTGATTTCACATGATTTGACAATATTTGTTTCATTGTCATATGTTACTTTGCATGAAACTGAGCGAAGAGCTTTGATAATATCCGACTCTGTTGATTCAAAAAGTCCCACCTCTTCGTGGTTTAGGATGTTGTAGTGATCAATTAACTTGCGCAACTCTTCAGTGAACATTGTGAGCCAAAGATCAACTTCATTCTCCTGGGTAGGATGAATAGCAACTCTAATGCTGGCCAATCGTGGACATTCTTCAATGGGCGTTATGACTTTGCAATTAATACACTTTGGTGCTTTGTTGGTGGAGGAAACTTCAGTTAGCATCTTAYGGCAATTGAGACAACTATACCATGTTGAGAAACTACTAAACATCTTGAATTTTTGTACTTGGACAGAAGTAACATCCTCTAGAAAATCATCATCAGGAGATGGAAACTCATCTGGAATTGGAATTAGCTCAGTGCTTGATGTAGTTGTCAATAACTTCTTTGAGTTGAAATCCTTTACTCTAAGGTTTTTGAACAGGTATGGTCCAGCTAGCTCTGTGCCTTTTGGATCCCAGATAGTAAGGCATATGGTGCCTAAAGAAAAAAAAAAGGGTACGGTTAGTTTCTGACAACAAATTATAACCTTCAGAATCTTTATGTACGCAGGCATTTGTGCAATAAAGATCGTGTTCTGCGTAAAATGTTATATAATCTTGTGTAAGTGTATTTATGTGTAGTAATAACCTTGAAAAATGGCCGCTTAGACCGCAAAGTCGGTTAGAATAAAAAACTACTTTATCAAAGCAAACTCACCTGTTGTGTCTGTTATTGCTGCGTGATTCAAAACTTGGATGGATCTCCCATTGTGTTGAATCGTCTTCACCCTATCTAGCTTCAATGTCAGTTGTCCTTTTATCGAAACTAGTTGTCCATGGTCCAGGTTCTTAGCGCTGTCCGTGGTTACCAAAGGACTATCTGCATCCATAGGAGGCGCGGCCGTTTCAAATGTTATGTCGGTGTTGCTAGCCTCTTCTAACCTTGATCTTTTAGTTACAA